TGACGGCTTGGGGGCTTGTGGGACAGTCTTGGGGAGGGGTCGCTTTCGTGGTGGTGACCCCCCTTGGCGCTGCCTGGGCCGTAGCACCCTTCTGGGCACCTTTTGTGCCCCGAGGGCCCCTTGTCCGAAGTCCACGCCCCGAGCGCTGCGGGCGGGGCGGCGAAAGAGAGCGCAGGCCGACCAGGCGTGCGGAACTCCTCCTCGTCGTCGCGTTTTCGTTCTCCTCCTCGCCCTCCTCGCCCTCCTCCTCCTCCTCCTCCTCCTCCTCCTCCTCCTCCTCCTCCTCCTTCCGTAGCCATTTTGGCTCAAGATGTTTGTGCCCCGTGGCAGAGCACGGAGACCCCTGGTCCGGGGACAGTCAGGACAACTGCTTTCTGCACTCGTTGCGCCCGCAACGCTGTGCCTCTCAATCTACTTTGCTGCGGGGACGCAGCTTACATATCACACGCGATCTGTGCTGGCGGCCGCGGGCCTCGCTCCTTCTCGAGCTGACGTGTCCACATGGGGCTCCCTGGCGTCACCGCTACACCCTCGCGAGCCGCCTCCGCCGAGTCCAGCGACAAAGGCAAGGCCAAGGACATCGTCATGGGGGACCCGTGGGCTACTGGCGCCCAGAAGCTCGCTCCCATTGCCATCCCAGCTCACCAACGGAACGAACTACAGGACCTGCTGCAGACCCAAGTCGACCAGTCCACCTCCGCCTTCGAGGCCACCTCCAAGCAAGTGGCTGCTGCCGCGCAGGCCGAGTTCCTGGCCTCTACCACGAAGACGACTGAACAGCTTTGCTCCCGTCAGGAATCCACTGAACGCGATGTTGTTGAATTAAAAGGGCGTGCCGAACGTGCTGAGCGACTACAAGGAGATCTACAGGCCAGCGCTGCTGCCCTTCAGCAAGCTTTACAACATGCCGAATCTTTGCACCCACCCCTGGACCTGGACGCAGTTGGCTCCTGGGATCGAGCCTCACACGCAGCCACCTTCTGGTGCGGAGCCGCCGCCGAGTTCCCCGTGGGTTCCCTCAAGACTGCCCTGTCCGAGTGGTTCGCCGCCGCCGACGTGGACATCAACGCGCTGCGCATCAACACTGACGGCCCCGCGAAGAGGTTCTTTTTCACGCTCACGGGCGGCGATGTGGTGGCCATCCCTCGAGCACAGGCTCTACGCCGCGCTCTTTGGCAGGGACGTGACTGGCGCCGATTCCAGGTTGAAGCGTCTGGGGGCGCCACACCCCTCTACGGTTCAGCCGACAAGTCGCCTCGCATGGTCCGCCAGGAAGTCCAGTTCAAGAAGCTCAGCGAGCTCATCCCCGACGAGCACCCCGGTCTCGACATTCGCGTCCGCCGCACTGGCGGTTTCCTGTCCATCAACGGCGCCCCCATCGTCCAGGTCACTGCTGGTGCCTCGCCTGAGGCAGCCACCAAGGTTCTAAGGTCCGCGGGTCTGCTGCGGCCGAACCCGCAGGCATCCCCGTCTAGGAGCACGACGACCTGGTGGCCGCGTTGGCGCCCGCGTTCGCCAACCTACTGGACGCCGCACAGTGACTGTAGCCCGAGATGGTCTCCATGGTTTCTCAGACTTCAGCGTGATGGGTTTAACATAGTCATCGCCATCCAGGACACCCGCGGCAACCACATCGACGCGGACCTCCTGGCCTCCAGCACCGAGCACAACTACGTCGCCGTCCACCCCGCACTCATGGTCGACGGCGCCGCCTCTGAGACTGCTGGCGGCATCGCCATCCTGATCCCCTTCGATGGTGCCGAGCAACGCCTTCCGCCCGAACAGCGTCCTCCACGCTCCTTTCGCGCGATTGTTCCTGGCCGCATTGGAGAACTACGAGTGCGTGACAGCTCCAGGCACCACGAGACAACCATCTTCAACGTGCACAACTACGAGCTGACTGCATCCGATCGTCTGCGATGTCGCGAAGCATGGGAGGCTGCGTCTCAACGTTCGGCCTCGGCCCCCGACGCCCGCGACGTCATCGCGATTGGCGACTTCGACATAGCGGCCACACCTCCGAAGAACCTGCCCCGCCCTACGCCCGCCCCCGCCGCCGAGCGCTAACACTGCCAACCCGTCCACTGGAAGACCCTCTTCTCGCAGATGCTGGAGATCGCGACCAAGGCCACCGCCCGCCGATGTGCCGCCAACATGGCAGAGGCGACCGTCGACCGCTGCTTCGTCGCGCTCAGCGCCTCGAACATCCCTCACCTCGAGACCCTCCTCATCGCCGATGGCCGTCCTCGTGACCGAGAAGGAGAGCCCACTCGCGACCACAAGCCTCTACATCTTCGCCTGCGCCCTCGACGACAGCGGCCTGCTGACGAGCGGGGCATCCCGGCGCCCCTTTTCGAGTCCAAGCACTATGAGTTCTTCGCCCAGCGTCTCATCGAGTTGGCCGGCTTCTCGGTCACCAACCCCATCTCGAAGTAGCGGGCAATGGTGCACATAAAGAAGCTGGCGGCGCGCAAGGCTCGCGACGCCCTCTCCCCCACCGCCGTTGCCGAGCTCCTCTCCGACGAACCCGAGATTATTGCCGGAGCTCGCGCACTCGCACTACGCAGCATAGCCCGTGCCATCTGGTTCCAGGACGTCAAGCTTGCCCGACTGCTCCACGCCGACACCTCCGCTGGCGCAGCCCACCTCGTCATCCACAACAACCAGCTTAGCCTCGTGGATCGCGCCGCCTTCGAGGCTGAGCACTCTACCACGCAGCTCCAGATCGCCGACCAGCGTCGCCCTGCTGCCGCTGCTCGCTCGCGGGCCGCCTTTGCCTCGCAACAGCGTGCCCTTGGTGAACAATGGCGTCGGCGCGCGCGACGTATCGGACAGCGCAGCGAGGTCTGGGGGCCGTTCACTAAACGCCTGTTCCTCGCTGGCATCCGCATCTCCGACAGCTGCGCCCTGCGCGGCGTGTCCGACCCGATGAGCATGCACAGCGCCATCTATCTAGACTCACTGGGCCAACGTCTTCACCGCCAAACCAGCGCACCACCAGGACATGCTCCACTACCTGGACTCGGCCTTCCCTCAACAGCCACTTCGTCATCGACCGAACCCCGATGCAAACGCACTCCAAGCTGCAGCTAGACTCGCGGGTGACTCTGCTCCTGGCCTTGATGGACTTCCATACCGTGCCTGGGTCAACTCCGACGGTAGCATCGACGCGCCCCATGATCTCCTCATCCCCATGGCGACTGGCGGTCCCATCCCGTACGACCTGAACTACGCCATGATGGCCATGCCCCCCAAGGGCGACGAGCCGCTCGGCAACTACGAGTGCACCCGCAGCCCCGACTGCCTGCGCCCCCTTGGCCACGAAGAACAGCGACATCAAAAATCGTCGCTTCTGCCGCCGGCCGCGTCTTGCACTCGGTTGCCCCGGGCGCAGAGGAGGGGCAGCAGGGCTTCGTCACCGGCCGCCAGTTCCTCGCCAGCATAGTCATGGTCGACACCATCGCGCGCATGACCAGCATTGACGACGACGCCGACAGGATGATGCCCTGCTTCGCCAGCATGGACATTGCAGCGGCGCTCCCCAGTCTCACGCACGAATGGCTCTGGGAAACGCCTCGCCGCTGGAACATCCACGGCGCATTTCTCCAGCTCATGCAGTGCTGCCACCGCGTGCCGCTGGCGTTCCTTGTGCTTGGTGGCACCCACCGTCCTTTCCTACTGGCTGAGTCCGGGGCGGCCCAAGGATGTCCACTGAGCGGCGCGCTTTGGGCCCTCATCTTCGACCCCGTCATCGAGGGCGTCAGGCTGGAGCTCAGCGCGCTCGGACGCGGCTTTCTCAGTGCGTGCGCGGGCGACCTTGGCATCGTTCTTGTCGCCCTTCGCGATCGTCGTGTTCTTCGCCCACACCTTCAAGCAGCGCGCCTACGTGCTGGGCTACGCCTTCAAGCCAAGAGGTGCATTTCCGTTCCAACCTAGTCTTTGCCTGCGCCCGAGATCATCGACAGCGCGCACAGCATCCTTGCCGACATCTGCGCGCCTTGGAAAGACTTCACCATTCGCAGCGTGGCGCAGTACCTTGGTATCTACATCGGCCCAGTCGCATCTTGAGCTTGGACCCGCCACCAGATGGTGGGAAAGTGGGGAAGACTCCAGATCCTCGGTGGCTCCCACGCCCCCATCCAGCAGAGCATCAAAATATATAACCCCGCTGCCGTGACGTGTCTTTCGTACGTGGGCCAGCTCTTCCCGCCATCCCCCTTATTCTTGGCCAGGGAGACCCATGGCTTACACATGCTGGTCCGAGCGTCACCCTCGAGCTCCGCGAAGATGGAGATCCTGTCGTTCTCCCAGTGGGCCTCCACCACGATGCCGCAGGGCCTCGAGACATTGCTTGCTGCTACTATGTGGCGCGCTGCCACAACTACCATCACAGACTGGCAGCCCCTACTACGTGGCCATCATGCTCTCGCCGACGAACGTCTGCCGATATGCCGAGTGATAAATGGTTATTGGTCTGCTGGCTGTTGGGTTGACAAGACCTCGATTGCACCGCGCTTCGACGCCATTACCAAGTACCGGCTGTTCCCAACTGGCAAAGGCTCGATCTTCAAGGCCATCGCCCGTCCGACTGGATCGACGTCATGCGCCGCCTCCACGTTCAGTCGTGCTCACCGGCTTGCCGCGTCAGCTGGACATCAAGCGATTGCTGCTGCCAGTCGTGACAGGGCTCGTCCGAACCATGCCGGGCACCGTGGCAGGGTGCAAGAGTCTGACTCCACCGCGACACGGGCTGCCCCCAGCACCTCGCCACAACCAGCCTCCTTACGTGAGATCCAACGCGTGCTGTACCACGACGTCTTCCACAAGACTGTCCTTCGACGCCTTCAAGCCCGGTTACCTCTGGTCCGCGCTGTTAGCGGCGATCCGACCGAGGGTGCGGAAGGTCAGGAAGCGATCCCAAGTATACACCAATCGGCACCTACGTGACGGCGACTCCAGATGCACTACAGCCGCCAGCTGGCGCCGCCTCCCACGACTCCATGAAGTACCTGCACGAACGCGCTGAAGCTTGGGCCGAGCGCTGGGGCGACATCGACGACCACCAGGACTGGATGGACTGGTGCGTCTCCTATGTGACCGCCGTGCCGCAGCGACCGCAGTTGGATGCGCACTTCGCCCTCGACGACGCCTTCGGCTCCGACACGGCCCGCCGTGACAGGGCGGTTGAGATCTGCGCGATGGCATGGCAGCGCAGTGACCGACCTCGTTCTCGACGCTTGTAGGTCTACAGCGCCGAGCGACCGACAACCGTCGTTCAGCTTGACTTTGTCAAGGAAGCTGCTGAACATCGAACTCGCCGCTGCTGGATTGAGCACGAGACCCGCAGCAACCCGCGCCTGCCCCCTGCCAACGACCGCGCGACCTCGACGACATCTACCACGACAAGCGCGAGGTGGCACCAGATGGACATCCTCGAGATAAGCGACGCCTCCTCTTGTGATGGACTACTTGGGAGGACGTTCGTCCCCGCCTCCATCGTCACCGAGTGGCGCGCGCTGAAGAACCACCTTGTGAACTCGCCCTCTTCGCTCTTCTGGCCCGCGGTCAAGACGCTGACGGGCGCCTGGGCTACAACATGCCGCGTGCACGTGAACCCGCACAAGAAGCCGCGCTTGTTCGGGTGCGACCCGCGCGAAGACTCCTGGAACGTGGGCGACGTCAGCCACTGCGCGACGTGCCCGCGTCTGTGGGCGATCGTCGCCATGCCGCGCGGCCAGCTCTCATCGGACTTCCTCTCGCGCATTGGCTTGGCGAGCCCAGCGACCGACGACGACCGTCCTCGCCGCGTCATCGTTCGCCTCGCGGCGGCCTACCGCGCGCGCAACATCGCGCGCGCCAAGCACGAGGCCGACCATCCAACGGCTGCCGCCTCGCCCCACCAGAACAACCCCTACAAGCTCCACCTTGCCGCCGCTGCCGCCGCCCGCCGTGCCCTGAGGCTGCCTCGTTGCCTCGTGGGCGGTCAGCGCGCGCCTGCATAGCGCCCGGGCCGCTGCGCTCAGGGCGGTGCTGCCGCCAGGTGCCTGCCGGAATGTCGACGTGAGCTTCGCGGTGATGGATGCCGGGGGGGCCTGTTTGGATCCCGCCCACGCTGCGCGCGCCGCCCCATTGCGCCACTGGGGCATGGCCTATTGGCTGGCTTGGGCACACGCGGAGGAGCTTGGCGCCGTCTTCATGCAGGCCCAGGATCGCTTGGCGAACCTCCTGGCGACCGGCCGTTCGCTGTGGTCCGCCGTCGCTGGCCCTGCGGCGGGCGTCATCGTCTCCGCCTGGCATCTGGGGTGGACGTGCCCCGCGCCGAGACGTTTTGCAGACGACCTCGGCGAGCCCGCCCCGCGATGGTGGCGGCCGCGGTGCAAAGATCGGTTGGCCGTTGGCGTGCGCGGCGGGTGGTGTCGACGCTCCCTGCCCTCGTCAGTGGCGATCCTGACGTGCTTCTGGACCAGGGCGCCGGCGCGGTCACTGTCCTCGTGGGCCGCCCCCTCGCTGCCCTGGTCAAGGGACGCGGGCGCCCGGGCAGCACGGTGCCGCAGTGGTCTGCGCCTTGTCGCCCCCAGCTCCTGTCCGCCGCCACAGGGGGGCAATGGCCGCAGGTGCGTCCCTCCAAGCTGCGGGGCGCTGGAGTCACGGACAAGGCCTGCCAACTCTGCGGGGTCACGCCCGGCACCATCTTGCATCGCCGTGTTTGCGAGGCCTCGAGGCCCCCGGACGGGTGGCCGGAGCCGCCGGAGGCATGTGGGCGCCTACTCTCGGCGATGTCGGACGCCCGCCTCGCGCTGCTCCGGATCCGCGGGCTTCTTGCGCTTCGGCTGCCGCGTCCGCTGCCGCAAGAGGAGGCCGTTCGCTGGTTGACGGGCCCGCCAGACGCGACTCGCACCGATCTGTGCTGGTACGCGGACGGGCACATGAAGTTCGGCCTTTGCAGGATTTCCGGCGTACAGGTTGCGCTCTTGTCGTCGTGTCAGAGGCTGGGGGCCTCGCGGCATACGGCTCCGCCGCGCCTCCGCCCTGGATTCGCACGGCCGCGGCTGCAGAGCTCTGGGCTGTCATGCTTGTGCTGTCCATCACGCTCACTCCGTCTGTCATTCGCACCGATTGCAGGGCGCTCCTCGCGACTGCGGAGGCAGGGTCAGCACGGGCCACCAAGCCAACGCGGATGCTCGCTCAGATCTGGTCGCGCGTGGCCACGCTTGTCGACGGCGACATCTCGACTCTGGTCACGACCAGCAGGCTTACCTGGATGCCGGCTCATGGCGCCCAGACCGCGATCGGCGCGGCACTGAGGTCGGACGGCCACGCGGTCACAGCAGCGGATTGGAGGGCCAACCGCTTGGCGGGCATGATTGCCAAAGCTGCAGCTGGCTGTCCGCAGCCGTGCGGCCCGGCTTCGGGGCTTTTTAAACTCGCCGAAAAGCTCGTGGCGCACGAGGGCGCGGTCCTGGGGGCGGTCACCCACGCCGCGAACAATCGCGTCCGCGAGTTGGTCGGGCCTGGCGGCACCCTCTGGCGCGCCACGGTGCGCGACGCGGCCGCCGTCCGGCGCCCGCGGGGTTCGCCCCGCCCGCCGCGGCGCGCGCCGCCGACGCCGCAGCTGCCCGCGGGGGCGCCGCCCCCGCCCGCCGCGCCGCCCGCCCGGCCGCCGGCCGCCCGCGCGCGCTGGGGGCACGGCGCGCGGCCCAGGCCACTGCAGCCCGCGCGGCTTCTGCTGCGCGCGCCGCCGCTGCCGACGCGGCCACGCTGGCCATCTGCGAAGCGCGCGCGGCCGCGGCGCGGCCGTCCTCGGCGCCGCCTGCGGCCGAGCGGCTGGCCGCCCTCCGCGCGCGCGTCCTCGCCCGCGTCGGCCAGGGCGCGGCGGGCTGAGCCGGCGGCGCTCCTCCTCCTCCTCCTCCTCCTCCTCCTCCTCCTCCTCCTCCTCCTCCTCC